ATCAAATGCTATGATATCTGAGCTTTAGGCCAGATGGCTACAGGCCTTGTTGATCTACTGTCATGAAAAAAGAAGCATTGTTACTATTCTGCAGTCAAAGACGACCCCAACCTCGTGGTACCCTATGCAAAATGGAAGGAAATGCTGCCCAGACCTGCACTATCCTCATGATTAGTTGCAGATTCTACTGTTGTGACCCAGTGTTTTCATTGGCTTATTTTCAAAGTAAATTTCCAAGCCTTTCTACCACATCCATCTTAGTTTGGAGGCTCTGCTACAACTTGTTCAGCAAAATTGCTAGTGTTGTTGGGTGCACAAAATTGGTTTCAACTCATATCAACCCTATGTGACAGAGTAGAACTATCCCATAGGGTTTCTTGGCTGTAATCTTTATGAAGCAGATCACCAGATCTTTCGCCTACAGAACCGCTGAGTGGGTTCAAACCACCAACTTTTCACTTAGCAGTTGAGCATTTAACCCTTGTTAAATCAGAGCCCCTTTTATTCAGCAGCATAGCAACATGCAAGCCTCCACTGGCAGATAGTGGTGACTTCACATGAGGTGCACTGGCAGGGAATTGAACCTAGATCTCTCTCCTGCAAGGCAAAAATTCTACCACTGAACCACCAACTTCCACAAACAAACAATAAGATGATTTCTTTTTATTATTTTATTTTCATCAAAGATGCTGGTCCATCAACAACAAAATATATTGTTGGAAAAATTATTGAGATTAAATATATTCACTATAAAATGTCTAAATCAACTAGTCTACCTTCTCTCTTATTTCACATCTCCTGTGTTCCATCTCCTTCAAAATCTAACATAGGTCTCTCCTCTAGGAAATATCCCCTGAATATCTCATTTAACACTCTTTGCATCCACCTCTTAATATCCTTTAAGACCTATATTTTTCACTTATTCTTTCAGCCAGCAAACATTTTAGTAAAACCCACGGGTGTACCTGGTATTTGTCTACGCACCAGAGATCCTAAAATGAACAAGACACAGTCACTACCTTCAAGGACTTTATAATGCAAATAAGTACAACAAAATATTCTAAGTGTTATGATTAAAGACAGCAAGAATATAGACTAGGGTGAAATAATAGGCCAGGATAGATTGCAAAGGAGTGACCCTCAGTCATATATATTTACTGAGAGCTTTGTGCATAAATAGCCTATGCTTTCTGCTTGGGACATTCAATGACAAGTGAGAGCCACACTGGATTCAAGTGGATTATATGTGGAGTGACAAGATTTTCATATAAAAAGAAGACTCTAGATGAATATATTATAGGTGCAAGTGAGCAGTTCAGAAGTTAATCAGTGCTATTCAGAGGAGCTCTGGTGACGTACTGCCTAAGGCATTTGATTGCTAACCAGAAGGTTGGCAGTTCAAACCCACCAGCCACGCCATGGAAGGAAGACTGGGCAATCTACTTCTGTACAGAGTTACTGCCTCAGAAACCCAAAGGGGATCACTAGGAGTTGGAATCAACTCAACAGCAGTGAATTTGCTTTTTTAGTTATAGCAGTTTAGAGGATACAAGTATCTCTTCTAGATTGTCAGAGGAGATATTATTTTAAATGAGTCATGAGATATTGGTAAGAATTTTAAAAAGCATGTGTGGATGGATGGATGGATTATTGCTGCTATGGAGGGCAGGGAGTGGAGAAGTGGGACTCCAGTCAGGAAATGAGCACAAGCAATGTGGTGCCTGAGCAACAGGAAGTAGAGCAGTCTTGTGGTCAGCTTATATAGGACAGAGGAAAAGTGAGTCAAGTTGTTCATACAGATTGGAATCATATTGTGGAAAACCTTGAATGTCAGGAAGAAGAGTTTGGGTGTTATGCTATGGTAATAGACAGTTACCAGGTGTGCTAGGTGAAAGGCAAGGAGAAGTAATCCAATAGCTGAAGATAAGTAGAGAACACTCACTAAACCATTTAAAGAATGTATTTAACTATTTCTTATTAACATCAAATATGCATAATGAAATTATAAACTTCCAGAGGATAATACCACATGCTATTCTTTTCATTCTCCATGCATCCTAGCATTATACTACACCCATGTTGTTGTTGTTGTTAGGCACAGTCGAATCAGTTCTCAAAGTAACACTATGTACAACAGAATAAAACACTGCCCAGTCCCATAGTAGCCTCACAACAGTTGTTATGTTTGAGCCCATTGTTGAAGTCACTATGTCAATCCATCTTGTTGACGGTCTTCTTCCTCCTTTACACTTAACCTGTACTTTACCAAGTATGATGTCCTTCTCCAGGGACTGGTACCTTCTGATAACATGTCCAAAGTACAAGAGATAAAGTCTTGCTATCATCACTTCAATGGAGCATTCTGGCTGTACTTCTTCCAAGACAGATTTGTTCATTGTTCTGGAAGTCCATGGTATAGTTAATATTCTTCACCAAGGCCATAATTCAAATGCATCAATGCTTCTTCAGTCTTCGTTATTCATTGTCCTGTTTTCCCATGTGTATGAAACTACTCCTAACAGATGCTCAATGTGTATTTTTTGAATGAATGGATGAAAATATTATAAACAATATCAGTATTATTAAAGTATTATCAAGTATTATTAAATGTGAATCCACATCCTCTGTGTGTACAATTAAAGTCAGAAGCTGCATTGTCAGATACTGCCCAGTCGAGTTCTGACTTTTATGGCATTTTCCTTTGGTTGCTCTCTTCTTTCAGCTTCCTCAATTCTAATTTCACTATAAGAGGCCATGTACATTACCAGAGACATTCAAGTTTTTATGGATGTATTTTTTATTCTTTTGGAGAAACTGTGCAGATCTCAGAATCATCTGACCACCTAATTCTCTCAAACCCTAACCTCCAGACTTGCTCTGAACCTGGGGAGACCATGTGAACTCAGAGTAATGAGAGAGTCCTGATTGTTCCCAGATCAGAGGACAGGGAGAAGGACAACCTATGGCCTTTTGTCATCAGGGGCCAAAATCAGATCCTCAAACAGTGCTTCTATTCATAGCCACCCTGGCACATGCTTCCAAAGGAGGCCCAAATGTACCACTTCTTCTGAGAGGAATTTTCAACTCTGTCTTAACAGTGCTTTATAACTAATTTCAACATGAAATTCCAGCACAAGTGATCTCATTAAATCATTCTAGGCTGTTCTCTTAAAAAGGATTAGATTCAATAATATCTTGGCACTCGTAGCTTATTTTGTCTAACCCAATCCTCACTAAGAAGTGTTTGTAAAGTCAGGGATGTGGTACAATCCTCATGATGCACCAGCAATGTATATGTGTGCACTTTCATAAAGAGCACACAGTCACAAAATCACTGTTCTCAGGGATTCTAGATAGTGGACTCAATGGAGCCTTGGTACTTTTTCTCTCAATAAAATTCAAAGGCTACTTCTAAGTTACTAGAACTTTTATTCTAAGACACTTGAGCCTTCAAAATTCATTTCTTAAAACATTATCAATAAATATTGCATACTCTAACAATTTGCATGTGGTTTTTATATTAATAGAAGTTGTTTTATTTTTAACTCAGGAAAGAGATACAGAATTCACTAATATGTTTGAGGATCCACTGGAGCAGAAGGTGGAGCTCAGTATAGCTTTGCCAAAGCAGAAGTTCAAGGAGGATCTCACCGACTCCCAGTCCCTATATTACCAGGAGCTGGTAACCAAGTGTCAACTTCAGGTAAGTGAACACACTCCAAACAACCACATACCAAGTTATGACCCAGAATCTGGGGCCAGAAGTACATAAGTTGTTTTGGCTAATAGTTCCAGCTTCTTGTGACCTGGTAATCAGTTTCAACTATTAAGACAAAAACAAAAACTACAGTGAATTCCAAAATGTTAAGACAAAAGGATCTCCAGGGAACTTCTCACAGATTTGACATTTTCAAAG